GAGCCCACACCAAACACAGGGGGGGGGGGGGGGGGGGGGGGCGCAGGAGGTAGTGTCTGAATGAGAGTGGGCCGCATCAAGTAATCCATAAAAAAGCAATTACAACTGTTAAAATCTGCTCAACTTTTATAAATAACAATGAAATCATTAAGGGTTCTCAAAAACTAGGATTCACTTTCATCCACCTACTCACTGTTGCATACAAAAATACACAGCAACACTACCAAAAAAATCAGAATTAGACTAGTCGGTGAGATTCGACTGAAACCGTCGCGGAGAGTCACGTTATAGATATGAGAATGGGGGAAACGGGCCGGCGCATTTACACTAAACATTTCTGTCATGAAGCGGGCCGCAAAATATCGTCTTGAGGGTCACAAATGGCTCGCGGGCCGCGAGTTTGAGACCCCTATATATCGATATGTAGTAAAAGAAGTCACAGGAAAAAAAGTCCGGGGGCCCGGAATCGTTTTTTTTTTCTTATATGAGCTTTATAAATAAAATTAACCACAAATATTCCTGCATAAATAGGTGGATCTTGACAAAACTTAGTGACGGGATCAAATAGGGATCATGCGGCAAACGGGATCCCATCGGAGAAAAGGATCCTTCCGGGAAGCGGGATCCTAGTGGGATCGGGATCCCATTTGGAAAAGGGTACAATTTGGAAAGTGGTATCCTACTTGGAAATGGGATCCCATTTGGATCTCAATTAGTTCGGATCCCACAGGGGTCGGAGTCCCATTTGGATATGAGATGCCATTTAGAATAAGGATGCCAATGGGGTCAGGATCCCATTTAGAAAAGGGATCCTTTCAGGATCAGAATGGGATCGGGATAACAATGGGGTCGAGATCCCAATGGGTTGGGATCCTAATAACATCCTTTTTGAGAAAGTGATCCCAATCGGGATCGGGATCCAATTGGGGCTGAGGTCCCTAGGGTCGGAATCACAATGGGGTCAGGATCCCAATGGGATTATTTGAGGGAAAGGGATCTCAATCAAAATTGGTATCCCAATGGGGTCGGGATCCTTGTGGGGTAGGGATCCCGATAATATATGGGATCCCAATAGGTTACGGGATCCCACAACTCTTGTCAGAATTTATTTATGATATCTGATGGCTGAATGCTTCTGTGACTTTTTTCCTGTGACTTTTTTTTCCTGTGACTTTTTTTTCCTGTGACTTTATTTCCTGTGACTTTTTTTCCTGTGACTTTTTATCTTAGCAAAATTTGTGACTTTTTTCCGTTACTTTTTTTCCTGTGACTTTTTTTCCGCTCACCTAATATTCACGATTATCTCATTTTTTTTATAAAAAGAATGTAAATATTTATACTTTCCCACATCATTTTCGATGTATGCAGTATGTATGCGGGAACGAATTTCAAAATATCTTAATATTACATTTTCGGTTTCGGCTTCGGTTTCGGCCGAAATTCATTTTTAAATTTCGGCTTTTTTTCGGTTTCGGCCGAAAGTCATTTTTAAACTTTCGGCCTTTTTTCGGTTTCGGCCGAAAGTCATTTTAAACTTTCGGCCTATTTTCGGCTTCGGCCGAAATCAGAAAATCACTTTCGGTCGGTCTCTACATGCAAGTGATATTCACTGAAAGGTCAATCAGGCTTTCCCTTCCGTTTACAGAGAACTTGTCCACAGCTGTGTTACACGGCGCACATATTGTTTGAATTTTCTCCTTCAGAATTTTTCTGTTTTCTTTTTCCAACATGGCGACCATTAAAGTTCACATTTCACATTTTCACATTGAAGGCCACGCTTAAAGCTCACATACGACCACCTTAAAAGTTCTCAAACGGCCACCCTTAATGTTCACATACATCCACTCTTAAAGATCACATACGGCCACTTTTAAAAATCACCTACGCATGCGTGAAATAATTTTCAACTATGCATACTTGTTTTATGCTTTGACCCACCCATTTCCGCTTTAACTGCCGAACATGACATACTTGCCACTTTTACGGCAATGTGTCAGCCGAGCTATGCACAGTTGACAAACTCAAGTACTCATTCAAAGTGCAGGAGTTTCAGTATAGTAATTTTGACGTATACTGTATTTACAGAAGCTTCAATTTCGCAATGCCTTTTCTAGCAAATGACTATTTAAGAAATTGTTTTTAAAGACATCGTCGGTCATCGTCTTTCTATAAAAACTCCTTCTCATTACCTTTATTATGTCTGACTTTTACTGTATATTTTTGTCTGACTTTTACTGTCTGACTGTTATTGTATGTCTGTTACTGTCTGATTGTTATTGTATGTCTGTTACTGTCTGACTTTTCTTGTCTGACTGTAATTGCCATTGATTTGAAGCAAATCACCCTGAGCTGGTGTGTGTGTGTGTTTTTATCCCAGATCTGTGTGCTATTGCTGTTCAGACTGTTACAGACCAGTCTGTTTAAAGCCAGGGACATAGGTGACTGGGAGGCCACAACTAATGCCTACCTGTACACAGAAGGACCAGGTAATAATTCCAAACATGAAATTACCATTTCGTTAGATGTAAACAGTGAATTTTTTTTTGTACATAATTAGAAACAACACTTACATAACGCTTGCAAATGATGCATTGTTACAGTTAAAACCAAAACAAATCTGGAAATATTTGACCGACAAAGTTTTCAG